GGTACGATTTTTCCATGCTCAGATCGGCTATCAGGTGTTTACTCACCTGCCTCTTGAGTCGCCCTCAAGTAAAAAGTAGAGAAGAATCTAACACAAAGGTAATGATGAAAATCAATCAAACCTGAAGAACTGCTCCACTGCCTGCATAAAATAATAGGATACAAAATGGGAATACATAAATATAATTGATAATTGTTCGGTTCCACGTAAGTGCTTGGCCTCCAGAACGGATTGGTATTCTGGAAGGAAAAAGACATAGTGTAGACATCTTGTGTACAAAAAAGTGTGAAAACAAAAAGAACTCTTTTATAATGCATAAATGTAAGAGTGTAAACTTGTTAGAAGTTGAACTCATTGTCAAGCCCAATCAAATGTATGACCTTGGGTCTATGACGACTGCCTTTTATGACCAGGTACGTAACCAAGGGTGCATAAGAGTACTCCACAAAACGGGAAAGTATATAAGGTTAAGGAGGAAAAGGAATTGTGTAGAATATGAGGATCAAGTACAGTAATGTCAAATACTATTTTCTGGTTTGATTTAGGTATGCATGATATGTTGAAGCAATATTTCGTCAATTCATCCAATTAACGAATTGGTCTGCACCTTAGAAGTGTGTAAGTCTTATTACGCATTAGTATTATGAATGATTAATCGATGTAAGGAAATATTGAAGCCACTTCTCCCGTGATCTGATGTGGTTTATTGGCTACGCACGCGGTATTGCATTCAGGAGGGCACAGGTTCGAGTGCGTGTGGGGCCTGCGTTTTTGTTCGCCAAACCCACCTTCAATACGACGTTTGTTGCGACTTACGGGCGTAAGTCGCTCAGATATGAGAGAAAAATGACAAGAGGACAGATTGATATGTCAAAGTGCCATATTGGAACAGTAAAGGTTCTTTGTTTATATTAATAGTAATACTGTAGAAAGATAACTAAAAGTTTGGTAAATTTCCATTTTACGTTATACTTAAACCAACGAAATATATATATATAATAATAATTTATTCTCAAATAACAGTTTGTTACATGAGGCATACCAGCTTACAGGCAAGATCGAATTTTTACAAATGATGCAATACCCACTGTAGTAAATTACATAGCTGGGTTGATAATTCATGAGATATGAATGTAGATGGTTTTAAGCAGTTCTACAGTTAGCGCGCTTCATGAAAGTTGCGTTACAAATGTGCAACTGATGGTCAAGGATAGGCCCATTGAAGGTATGAGCTTCTAGAAATCGCAACCTTATGTCCCTTTGGAATGTCTAAGGCTTTGAGGATGGTGCAGGATGAAGTCACCCGTCCCATATCTCAAGAAGGCTGAAAGGGGGAGCAAGTAAAAGAAAGGACGAGAGGCAGAGTAGCCAATATTCATGAAGGAATGTTTAAGGTATGATTACTCAGTCTAATTTTCTTTATTAAGGTATTTGTTAGGAAAGAGCATTTTGATAAGTTAAAGAAAATAAGTGTTAACAAGGTGTGAGTAGACATACAACTGACAAATGGAGGCAATTCGGAAAGGAGCTGAGAGTATGGGATCATGTGTGGTTATAAAATATAGTGCTAAATCAGTACTGTGATATACAATTTGCTGTCTTCCTTTTATTATCGAAGCTATTAGAGCCCCTTTCGTTTTTCTGTATTATTATTTTTTTTCAGGTATTATGGGGTCTTGAGTAGGCTTCGTATATTAGCGAATTGTCTAGTTTGCTTGTAATAGGATTTCTGGGTAGGAAGTGTAACCAATTCAACGATCGTAACACGATTTAAAGAGGTATTTCGCGTGATAAATCAGCATCAATATCATAAGTTCGTGACATCCCGAGTGACCATAAGGAGCCGTGATTTTAAAAAATGTTCCGCGCTACAAACATGGGTGGATGAAATCTCCCTCCCCACCATCATGTTTGCTGGTTAATAAAACCACCCCTCCTCTTTTTGCGACGTTAGGCTCTCTTACGTTTGTGGTGTGTATGAATATTTTCCTAACCTAAGCTCGCCGAAGGAAAACACTGTCCGTACTAGTTTCATGTTACAAGCAAATCAAATAGTTAAAACATTTGTAATATGGGTTAGATATCCTTTAGTATATCACATTGGTATCAAGATAACTAATGGTAAAAGTTGAAAACACAGATCAGATTATATGTGGTTTAGAGATGTTAGGGATAGATAGTTAATCAAAGAATATGCAATAGTTTGGAAATGCGAAATTTTCGGAGTAAGAAAACAAAACATTGAGCAGCTCACAAGAGTTAAGAACACTATGAACTTCTTATGATCGGCAATAGTTGCTCAGCATCCGTGAGATTAGTGAGTTATCTGTCTAATTGTAATAGGAAAAATCGGACATGACATTTAGGAAGAATAATTCAATTTAACCATTAGAGGGATTCGGAATCAGAAAATGAAGAGTAGGAGCATAAGGACATAACTAACAATCAATGAATAATGTGAGATGGTTAACCATGTGTTCTATCATTTGGTTATATTCATATTAATGATAACAGGAGTCTGTTATATTTATGATCGGTCCAGATATTAGGCGGTTCATAATAAAATGCCTCATTGGTGGACGGAGTTTCAGGGAATAATCGATGAAACTCTTTAGTATCAAGTAATAGAGTTAATAGTCTTTTGAACTTGATGATAGTGTCACAGTTACGGATTAGTATTGCCATCCTATTCTATAATAAACTATGCTGTTAAAATCTTACAACGCAATGGTTTTTGGTGTTTTACTGTAAGCAATTTATGTGGGTTGTTTCTGAGTCTGTAGACTGGATTACGGATCATGATTATGCAGGAGGTTAGAAATGTGACTGCATGTATTGCTTTGTATAGAAATATTAGATTGTTCCTTAGCCGACTATACTGTACCGGTTCTAAGGAGAGGTGCTTACATCCATCTATGTAGTTGAGAGTGATGTCAAATCCTAGCAGTTGGCGTGTGAAGCGTCTTTGGACATCTACTCTTATCTTGTCTGTAGTACTCATGTTTCAGAAGATACGGTCCATGAGCAGCAAGTATCTACAGACAAAAACTCCCCACCCTTTTACTTCATATCCATTCCACAGTGTTAAGTTCGCTTGTTTGGAAGACTTAAGTACCAATTTTAAAAACCTGGTTTTTTTATGATTAAAGTCCGTATGACTTGAGCCTATAAACATTTAGCAAGGTGACCTCAGGCGTATTTTAGGGATTAGTTGTTTTGTCAACTTGTGTTGGACCAAGAATATATCAGTTCCAATAATAAAGTTTTTACGAAAGGAAACTGATGTATCGATACATTGGATATATCTATACACAAGAAAAATATACAGCACGTTACTTAAATTGTCAGAAGTTGGCGTGGTCGATTTCTTGTGGCCTTGTAACCCACAGTTATATGTATTTTATAATTCCAATCACAGTTTTTATAGTTGGAAATTTATATCCAGATAAAGCATGTAGTGAAGATGTCACTGTGATCTGTAAGCATATATAGCAAATACATTAAAGTTCTGTTATCATAACAGTAAGTAATTGAGAACAAAAGGCACATGAGTGTAACAGTGTATTTGTGAGCGATAATCAGTGTGTCATGCTATGGGGTATTCGAAAAGTGTACAGAAAATCAAAGGTCATGCCTTTCTAAACAACGTTTTCACAGTCATTTGTAGTAAATGTTCCAATTAAGGGAACTAATGAAAGAAATGAAAGTATTAGCAAAAAATAATTACAAAATAGGTCTGTGATAACTAACTCCACAAAATTCTTATCATGCTAAAAACAAGTTTTAGGCTACGAGTTTCCACTCCCCTTAACTCTAGGAAAGATAACTGATCTGTCGCTATGATAAAGTTTTAACCTCTCAGCTATTTTTAAAGGGTTAGTTTTTCTTTAATAATATTATGTCGTTCCTTATTCTCGACCTGAACCCATTCATCAACTTCTGATATGGTAGCTACCACAGTCGTGCGAAACACACTATGAGGTTCAAGGTGATTGCTAATGACCTGGACAGTCAGCTTGTTTTTTTCCTGACAGAAATATATCTAGCCGTACGATTAGGTTTTTTAGGCGTTTCCTGCTGGCTGTCATTTGGAAGATGGCAGACGGAAGAAACTTCCATTCTTGGGCCTTTATTTCGGATAGACCTCTTTGAAGTCGACCTTTTCTTCTTTGATCCACATAAGTCAGTCAATAATGACTTTGGTGGGGGTGAATTCACATCAATCGACCGAGCAAGTACTATCTGACGTGTCTCGACTATGTTTTCTAACAATCTTTTAGCGATGTTTACCACTGAGATGGCCTCAGTTAGCAAGCCATCCGAGTAGCACTGCTTATGAAACCACACGCAACCACTTTTGCTGAACCGCTCAAGGGATACAGGCGTTAGATTCACGCAAACTTCATGGTACCATCCATCGCACTCCTCGCTCTGCATGCCGCTTTCGACGGTGTATCAATAGCTTTTCTTGCACTGTTCAGTCATTAATCAGAGGTTTTCAGAAAGGGACTAGATACAACAGTACTGAAAGACAACAGAAACGTGTGACCAAAAAAGTGAAAAACTGTAAATTGTTAGAACTAAAATTGCTAACAAATACATTGGAAAAAATGTGCTCAAAGGTACCGACGATAAAATACACTAGAAACTAAAACGATACTCTTACCGGATACTTAACTGAAATAAATTAAGATAAAGTGAAAAAAATAGTCTTGATAAATACTAAACGATTAAAACAATAAAACTAACTCAGCGAGGTCAAAACACCACTGTACATTTAAATAGCGAGCATCCGAAATATTTGACTTGCAAAGCTATTAAATCTGCATACATTGGATTTTGGGTAATTCTTGCGTATTTGAAGGTGTTGTAAGTATCTTGGGGGCTATTATATATTTAGTTAGTCCTGTAAAATTTAAATCTAAAGCTAATGAGCATTGAGAAATGAAGAAGTTCGAACGGGCTAGGCGCACGTGTTGAATGCTGCGCAACTTTTTGACATGCAAAGCCCTATTGGGCAGTATGCTGCTCCGTCCTGTGATGTTGTGGCCCAATCTGGTATGTCTTAAAAGTGATTTCTTACCGTCATGTTTATTTACACAATAGGCCGACTCAAATGGTACTGCAACGAAATTCTCAGAAGAATCGAGGGTTCAGGACGTAAGTGCACATTATTATCGTTACATCGTTTTACAGCTATTTCAGTAATAGAGTTCAACAAAGAAGGCACACATCTGGCTTATGGAAACGCTGATGGGATTGTTAGTGTCATTGAAATTGGCCAAGCGGTTTGTAGACCTAGATTTTTGATGATAATGCTAGGATTAGGATCTTTCTGAAACAACACACCATTGTCACTCCTGTTCGAAACCCTATCAAGTTTTCTTAAGCCACGAACCAGAGTTCGACTGTCTGAAGTCTCAAGCAATAGAGGAGAAAATCAATCTTATACGCTGGCTCCCGAAATCCGGGCTTTCCCACTTCTTGTTATCTTCCAATGGTAAGCTTAAACTTTCTAATATTACTATGGAAAGAGTTGTTCGAAGACATTAGTTCATTTTTTAGTGTTCGCACTTATTAAATGAAATATCCTGATAAGTTACTCACTCTGAATTATCTTAATCCCTTCTGATGACCTTGACAATTATTTTTCTAAGATTTGGAGTTATTTTGAATAATCATAATAATGTTTTCACACGATCCGTCATGTTATGACTGAGTTGCTAGGCTATTTGTTTGAGGTCAGGAATCTTTCAAACTGATTATGTAAATCAGGTTTATAAATAAATAAATAGTATTCATCTTTACGTGTATGTAACGAACTATCGTTCGTTGGTAATCCTTAATTAGAGTATTGAATTATGGGGGAATCATTGCTTCCAAAGATAAAGATCTAGAAAGTGGACTAACTGGTTGTACCCAGTACATTTCGTCACCCTCAAACTCAAAGTCGTATTTACCAGTATGGCAAGTAAATACTTATGCTTTTCAAGCTGAAGTTTGGTAACTAGCAAATTAAAAAGGGTGATAGATAATTTTAGACACCACAGTCAATACCGGTAGTAATTCTAATTTTGCTTTACTCAGGATCCCCATTCTAATATTCCTTGTTTCCGTGTTCGATTTCGTCGAGAATAACGTATAGAAATCAATAATCATGTACATGGTCACAAATCAATGGTGCACATGAGCTCCAGTATCCTGCGGGAACAAATGGCGTATGAACCAATCGTTGGTCACCGGCTACCATGGGATTGCATCTCCTTACGATGCTCCACTGCCTTGTGGGTTAGACCTTTAGGTCGAAGGCTCGGGGTGTGGCCCCCTAAGATAACCACCTGCTTCGGTTTGGGCACCCGGGCAGTATCACAGCCCACACACAAATGATGAACTCTTTATGTCTATGGAAATTACTTTTCTCGCTTCGAAAAATAATCAATTGATTCAAATTATTATCATTACAATTATTGTCATTATTAATACTATTGTTATTATTACTACTATTGTCATTATTATTATTATTATTATTATTATTATTATTATTATTATTATTATTATTATTTTCCACATTATTCACCCTCTTTTATACTTATACAGCGGCTCGTCTTTGGTGGAAATTCGACTGTATCTAAACGTTCTCGAGTCACTGTCCGGTTGAAAATTGTATGTTACCACCGAATACGAGAACTGAAGCAGTTTTTCTGAAACCACGTGCACCATTCAAACTGGCTGCCTTCAACGTTCGCACATTTATGCAGGTCGGACAACAGATAGGGCTGGCTATGTCTTTGGAAAGTCTTAATATTGATGTTTGTTGTCTATCCGAGACCCGTATTCAAGACTCTGGCGAAGTACTACAAATTCGATCTCCATCTGTCGATTCGAAAAGCTTGTTTTACGTGCGCTTATCCGGGGACCTTGTGGCATCTTCGTCGGGCCTTGCTGGCGTTGGTGTCACACTAAGCGCTAGAGCTGAGGCAGCACTAGTCGATTGGATCCCCATTAACAGTCGGTTATGTGCTGTTAGATTAGAAAGTTCCATCAAAGTGAGAAGAAATCGGCGTGAGAAACGATGTCTTTTCGTCATCTCCGCCTATGCCCCGACAGATTGCAGCCCGGATGCAATCAAGGATGAGTTTTACCACCAGTTATCTGTTCTTCTCCAGAAAGTGCGTTCGACAGATATTGTAGTACTAGCCGAAGACTTGAATGCTCAGGTCGGGCGTCTAGGCACAGAAGAGAGTCGTTTAGGTGGCCGATGGGGACTCGTTGGTCGCAGGACAGATAACGGGGACCGTCTACTGCAACTTTGCACAGACCACAACCTGTTTCTGGCCAGCACCAACTTTCGGCACAGTCATCGCCGATGTGCCACCTGGCGTCCTCCCTCTGCATCTCAAGCCTGGACTCAGATTGATCACATCGCCATCAGCTACCGCTGGCGTGGTTGTGTACAAGACTGCCACTCCTTTTGGAGTACCTATCTGGACTCTGACCATGCCTTGGTCTGCGCCAATCTTGCCTTACTTTTCAGTGGACAACGAAGTGACCGCCATCAACGGATTGACATTAGCAAGCTGGTTGCAACTTCTGTTGCAAGTAAGTATCGAACCGAGCTAGCCTCTAGGCTAGCTACCACTCCACCGAAAAGTATAGATGAGCATTGGTTGCAATTGCATGACGTCCGAGAGATGGTGCTACACAGTGGCTAGAGACGTTATCAGATATGGCTCAGAATAGAAGCCAGTGGCGATCCTGCTGTAACCTTCTTTTACTTTCTTCATAAAAAGTGGTTGTGTCTCCCTTACCTGAAAGATTTCTTCTGACTGTACCTTTCCGTTCCCTCGTTACTACCACACTACCTTACACCAATCTCTTCGTTATTGTTCTCTTTTTCTTTTGTGCTCCTTAGTTTTTTTTCTATTTCTCTTCGAATTCTCATTGTTTTGTGTGGCGCATATATATTGGCGCTCTCTTGTACCAATATTCATGTGTTCAAATAAATAAATAAAACATGGTCCTGCCCATTCAGTCAATAGTCGATACATCGATACTTTCGCTGACCTTAAGCACAGTGAGTGGAAAGTAAAACTTGGAAATATCCGTCAGTGACCCCATCAACCATGAATATTAACAGATAACATAAACGAAAGGATTGGGTTAACTTCATAGTTGTTCGTTTTTGATAATAAGATTGTACAGATTTAGTAAGCGGAAAGTTTTGACCTTGGTGTTCAGTAACACATGTTTTGCGAGATATATTTGGCCAGTTGGGGAAGTGCCCGTGTACTATCTTACAAGTCATCAAAGTATTTTTATGAGGTTAGTAGGAACACTTCGGTCTTAAATATTTTGTGAGAATCATGTTGATATCTGTGCATAAGTTTGTCTCTTCTCCAGATGAACTTACTTCCGTGGCTAGCTGTTGTATCCATCGTTATCTTTTGATCACGAGGGATTTTCGCGTTGATAATTAGGTTTTCGCGAGGAATGTTCTCTCCACCACTGCTTATTAATCCAGATTGTTGATCACAGCTGAGAAACAATAATGGTTCTCGTCTTAAACATCTACCTGATGTTTAAACCATGAGTTATACTATTATATCTAGCGATGGAATCTAAAAACTCATTTAGAATTGGTCAGCTTAATGTATTCCAGTGCAGCTGTTTACACTAACACAAACCCCGTTAAGATTGCTAATGGAGAAACAAATCCTTATAAATCGATTGATGATATTTAGCTCATATGTATTGGTTTCAGGTACATTCACCTGAAGAGTCCCAAATAGGGAGAAACGCACATCCTCGATTCCAATGTTAGCCACCATACACCTCTGCTTAAAAATGAGTTATATTTGTTTCATAGAAGAAACCGTTAGTTTTAACCACGACTTATGCCTAATTTTTTTATTTACTTGGCCTCAAATGCCCTGGTACGGCCGAGAGTGGTGGAGTTCACTTGCCCTCTCAGAGAAAGATGGACATATTATTCATTCTCAATCCAGGAGATTGGATCGATGGGCAGAACACTTTAGGGATCAGTTCAACTGGCCTTCAGCCACACTTCGGTTTCCCACGATCTCCAGTCAACCTGAATGGCAAGTTAATGTAGGTCCTCCGTCCCTTTACGAAGTTGAAAAAGCCATAGGAAATCTGAAACGAGGGAGAGCAGCAGGCCCTGACAGGTTTACTCCTGAGATTTTTAAGGATGGTGGTCCAGTATTAGCAATGAGATTAACTGAGGTCTTAGGTAGAATTTGGGAACTGGACGTAATCCCATCTGACTGGTCTCAATCACTGATTGTGCCAGTTTTTAAGAAAGGACAAAAGTCCTCTTGTGACAATCACAGAGGAATCAGTTTGACTAATATAGTGTCTAAAATATTAGCTTCAATAATACTTCGACGCCTAACTAAAGCTCGTGAAGAGCAGACTAGAGAAAACCAGGCTGGTTTTCGACCTGGACGTGGTTGTATAGATCAGATATTCACACTACGTCAGGTTCTAGAACACAGACACACATTCAGACGCCCCACAATGGTAGTATTTCTCGACCTTAAGGCGGCATTCGACTCGATTGATCGTGAGGTTCTATGGCAGTGTTTGTCACTGAAAGGAGTACCAAAGAAGTACATTAACCTTATAAAGGCTCTCTACTCGAACACAACTGGTCGAGTGAGAGCTTATGGCGAACTGTCATCAGAATTGATCACCTCAAGTGGTGTTCGTCAGGGCTGTCCACTCTCCCCATTCTTGTTCAACTTTGTGGTCGACGTACTTTTAGAGATAACACTCTCCTCATCTAAATTTACAGGGGTTGAACTTCTACCAGGAGGTTCACTTGTTGACTTAGAATATGCTGATGACATCGTTTTATTTGGTGAAGACACTGACAAAATGCAGAGTCTTCTGGCCACTCTAAGCAACAATGCAAGCATGTTCGGGATGCGATTCGCTCCCTCGAAATGCAAAATGTTGCTTCAGGATTGGGTTACATCGACACCCGAACTAGTGATAGGGAGTGAAGTAGTTGAGTGTGTCGACCGCTTCACTTATCTTGGAAGTCTCATCAGCCCTTGTGGTTTAGTGTGTGACGAAATCTCAGCACGGATACAGAAGGCTCGATTAGCTTTTGCCAACTTGCGTCATTTATGGCGTAGGCGAGATATCCGTCTATCAACCAAAGGACGTGTTTACTGCGCAGCAGTTCGTTCCGTCCTACTTTATGGCAGTGAAACATGGCCGGTAAGAGTAGAGGATATCCGTAGGTTACTAGTATTTGATCATAGGTGTCTTCGAAACATTGCTCATATATCATGGGACCATCGAGTAAGTAACACAGTTGTTAGGAAACGGGTACTAGGTAAGGATGGCAAATCAATTGATGACGTAGTGAAACTTCATCAGTTGAGATGGCTGGGACACGTGTTACGTATGCCCAACGACCGACTGCCTCGACGTGCTATGTTCAGTGGTATAGGAGTAGGTTGGAAGAAAGCTAGGGGCGGCCAAACCAAAACATGGCACAAGTCCATGAAGTCACTGACAAGTGAACTGAGTCATGTTGGTAGGTGTAGACTACCTGGTTGGGGACCGCGAGATGACAGCAACCGTTGGTTAGAGACCCTGAATGACATGGCTCAAAATCGTTTGCAATGGCGCAGGTGCATCCACTCTCTGTGTTCTCCCAAATTCTAATCTTCTGAATTCTTCATGTCCCTTTTTTTCCTCTTTCCAAATTTCTTTCACTGGATTATACTCTTTAAATAACATCTCCAAACCCTAATCTTCCCGATTACTGCTTATACTCTTATTACCTCTACCACGACGGGATTTGAATCGACAAGTGCATCTCTGTGCTAATGTGGTGTGGCAACTCGAACTGATGTACGTACGTACGAAGTTCTACGTTGTTACTGACTGACTGACTGCCCTCTCTAAATGCTCTCACATGACCACGCGTATATAGCCTCTGCCAGGGAAGTCCTTTTCACTGCCTTCTCGTGGCGGGGGTGTTGTTTACAAAAATGAGAGGACGAAAAGCGAATGTCCGGCGCTTTTTAACCGGGTTGATGGACACGGAGAGTCCACCTAGAGGATCTGGAAAACCCTGAGCCCAAGACAGTGATGCGCATATGCTCCAGTATCCTGAGGGAACAAATGGCGTATGAACCAATCGTTGGGACTGCATCTCCTGACATTGCTCCACTGCCTTGTGGATCAGAGCTTCATGTCGAAGGCTCTGGGTGTGGCTCCCTAAGAAAACCACCTGATTCTGTTTGGGCACCCGGGCAGCATCACAGCCTTCACATATCAAATGAGATTTGTGTGGCGCATATATATTTGGCACCTCTTTGTACCAATGTCTGTGTTAAAATAAATAAATAATTTACTTGCCTTTTTAAAACGATTAACTCAGTGAATAAAAGTTTAATACTAATGCATATTGGCTGTGCAAATTTATATATATATATATATATATATATATATATATATATATATATATATATATATATATATATCCAAATCTGAAGATTTTCGGTCAGATGTTTAAAGTTTTCTAATACACACTGCATATATGGTACATGCCATCAGATTGATCAGTCCCACCATTGGTATTATTTTTACAGAACGTACTATAAAACTTTGGCAGTTGACTGAACTACCGACACAATCGTTTACAAATCTGAATTTCCCCATTGAATCCGGTTGCCGACGTAAAGTTGTTATCAGGTCATTATCCGATATCAAAGTCCCTGTCTGTTTGAAGAATTATGGAAATACAAATATACGTGTACAGAATAAAAAAGTATTTGCTCGTGCCCATGGCTTTTCAATAGTCGGTTTGTCACCCTCTGCTGACCGTGAAACTTTCTTCTCTGCCGATCCACTGAGGATTAATATGTGGAACTTAGAAGTTACTAATGAGGTGTTCAGTATCCTTTTACCAATGACTTATTTAGTCTTCATTAACCAGTTAAATTTTGTCAACTATCATTAATTCAGTTGGTATTAGTCGCTTTTATCTCGAGTTGATTCTACTTTTTCAACGTTTATCTCGTGAAAATAGATTTATATCCATAAAATTCAGAATATGAAAGTTTTTTGTCACTATTCGTACAAGCCACCAAACATTACACAGTTCAGTATTGATGTCATGTTTTCGATTGAAATCGCTGGTAAGTTCTGAGTTCCACTTCATAATATTTAAATCTCTCCAGTTCTATTCGTTCTTATCTGTGCAGCTACCTGAGTGGTGAAATCAACTCATAATGTAAACCAGAGTGGTTTATGCCAATCTGGGTCATCTTTGGTGCCTTCGTGATGTTATTCTGGCTGTGAAAGGTCGGGTATACAACGTATCAGTTAGATCAGTTTTGTTTTATGCTTGTAAAACCTGACCCCTTCCAGTTGAGAATGTTAACCGACTGACCATCGTTTTCTCCTAGGGATTGCTGGCCTTCAACGGCAACACCATGTTAGTAATGGGGAGGTTTGATAACATGTGTTCACGACAGAGATGATAATTCAATTGATGTCACTATCTTGAAATATCGACTTCGGTGGCTTGAACATGTACTGCAAATGTAGTCCCAACGAACTCCATATTCATTATTTGCGGATGCTTGGACTAGTTCAAAAAATTCGAAAGGTGGTCAGTGTATTACATGGTGTCATAGGATGAAAGAAAGCTGAAGAGAAATGACATCTGTGGGATCTTTAGGACTCCCTTTTTTGGGTCCTTGAGGTGCTACACCACAGTAGCTTGAAATGTTATCAGAAATGACTTGGAATAAAAGCTAGTGACGATCCTGATGTATTTTTGTTTTACTTTATTCATAAACGTAGAAGTGACTTTTTAACTGGAAAATTTCTTTATGATTATATTTTTCCTAACTGGACTGCTTCTCCCATTATTATTACTGCTCTCATTCTCATACACTAATTTCTATGGATTGTTGTTCACTTGTATTATACTCACTTTACTTTTTATACCTCTTCACAACCTTATTTTTATTGTGTGGCCCATATATCTTTGGCGCCCCTATACACCAATGTTTATGTGTTCAAATAAATAATCCACAATAAACTTATGGAAGGCATTAACTTTAGAGAAGCTCGTACTTGAAAATCGGTTCATTATGGACCTGTATACAGCTATTATATTTTTATACCTGATTTTTTTGGTATGCAATATATTTTTCTTAACTCAAAACTCCTTGACACTGCTAATTTAAAGGTGTCATTGATCATATGCTTGATCGTTTGGACGATCGCTCACATCTGATCACTGGAATTAGTTGTAGCAATTCTTCTCCATCATTATTTGCATATGGCACTAACAGAGGTTCCATTTTTCTTTGTGATACACGGTCAAGCTCTCTTTGTGACCACGCTTCTCTTGGTAAGCATATCATTATTTTCTTATCCACTGGTTTTAAATTATACTATCAAATCACACAAAAAACTGTGGCGCATGCATTTTGGTACTCTTTTCACCAATGTTTGTGTGTTAAAATAAATAAATAAGTGGCCATTCACTAGTAGCCCACGAATATCTATTTTTAACGGCCATGTTTCACACCCATAAAGTAGGACGAAGCAATCTACTGCACAGTAAGCTCCCCTTTTATTTGGCAGAATGATCTCACCTACACCTCAAGTGGTGCAATTTGGCGAAAGCCGATTGAGCCTTCTGAATGCGTGCTGATATTTCGTCAGACACCAAACCACCAAGACTCGTGAGACTCCCAAGATACGTGAAGTGATTGATGCGCGCAACTATTTCACTCCCTGTTACAAATTCAGGCGATGACGTAAGCCAATCCTGAAATAACATTTTATATTTGATGAGAGAGAACCACATCCGAAACATTCTTGGATTGTTGCTTCAGGTGGTCAGAAGACTGGATTTTGTCTGCGGCTTCTCGAAACAGAAATATATGGTCTACGTATTCTAGGTCAACAAGTGAATCTCCTGGTAGAAGATCAATCTCTGAAAAGTCGGATGTCCAGAGTGTTATATCTGGAAGTATGCCTATGACGAAGCTAAATAAAAATGACTGAAGCGGACAACCTTGAAGAACATTACTTAAGGTCACCAATTCCGATGACAGTTTGCCGTGGGCTCTGGCTCAACCAGTAGTGTTCGAGTAGAGAGCCTGTATAAGGTTAATGGACTTCTTTGGCATGCCTTTCTGTGACAGACGTTGCCACAAAACCCGTTGACATACAGAATCAAATGGTGCCTTAAGGTCGAAAAATACAACTATGGTTGCTGGTCGGTAGGTATGTCAGTGTTTCAGAACCTGACTAAAGGCGAATACTGTCGCCAGATCTCACTTAGGTGGCTCGATACCAAGTACAGGAGTCTATACCTGATTAAATTTTCTCATGACTACGTTTTATCTTTCTTCACACTCAGGTGTTTTTTTTCTAAAGCTTTTCATAGTCTTGCTGCAGACGAATCAGATGTGCTTACAATTCTCACTAATTCAGTTTCCGATTTGAAATTTGGCCAATGCTCCGATTACATTATATTTTCCCGTGATTATTTGAGCGTTAAAAGTAAACACTCATTTTGGATTTGTTTTTTAAAGTTTATATAACTTTTAAACTATAATTTGGATTTAAAGATATAGATGGTTTCCGGAGATTGTTCAGTTTAAAAGTTATTTCTCATCACAAACTGATATCGACCTGAGGACTGTTGGAAAGCAGTAATCTAAGCAAGTGGCTGGAGATAGTCGGAGGAAACTTCTGCTTAATCTAGGTTTCCTGCCAGTTGAAATTTGTCAACAAAGCGTACCTACACCCTTTAAAGGACTCTCCATGTGATTTGAAACCACTCCACCCAACTTCACAGTTTGGGACGTTATCGTTGAGCTTTTTGGGTCAAGACTTTTCTGTACGAGTGAGGTATTTACAATTGATTGATCACTAAGTGTTTGCCGTTTTTATGTTTGTCTAGTTCTTTAGTTCCGCCCAAATTTTATCGGTCGAGTTGAAATTTAGCCAGCGATGTAAGTGGATTTAACTTTGAGTGTACTATGTTGAGATATCATATGGTTGAAAGGATTTGGACTAGTGGCTTAATCAACAGAACTCAACCAGCCCCAAAAGAGTAGGTAAACGTAATACTAACCACTCAATGGTTAATTGGTTATAGAACCAGGTGTCAGAGAGCTGTGTTATTCTAATTTTAACTTTTCCTCTCAGCAGTTCATGTCTTTATGACACAATGGGGAGTCGAATCTAAGAACTTCAGGTCTTGATAGTAGTACAATATCTTGAGATCACCCAGTCGTAACCCAATGACAGAAGTTTTAAACTATAATAAATGCACAACATTTCTGCACTATAATTGAATGCTGTCGATAAAATATCTGTCTTACTCACTGGCTAGTGTCTCACTTCAATTTTGCAAATTATTCTTGTGGCTTGCATCTCACTAGCAAAACAAACAATTATGTTTAGCTACATGGTTTTCAAGGTTCTTTCGTTCAATTTGAAATCAATTCTTTTTATTACTACTAAGCGACATTAAGTGGATAACTTCTTAACGTGTCTGAAAACGTTGAACACATTCTCACTTTACTTTCGATCAATCACCATAAATATTGTATGTATTTTTTTAAATTTATCCCCATACTCATGATGTAGCTTGGGATTCACGAATGCCAACTCAACCAGTTGAAGTTTATCCTGTCCAACGTCATTTAAAAAAGCATTTAACTGTTTTATACGAAAGTGAATTACTTTTTGATGATTTCAAATTAACTATATCTTCAAATGATCGGTATGTGAGTAGTTAGTTAGTAGTTGATTTTTTGGTCCGGTTTTTTTAAAAGAGTAAACACATTTCTGTCCAAAAATAGTGTGAATAGATTAACAGCTTCGTTAACATAACGATCTCAAGTGCTGTTAGAAGTGTAAGAGCGGTTGTCACTTCTGGGTTGCCTACACCATAGAAGGATATATCTTCTTGACGGATCTCGAAGCCCAACCGCAGAGCCCATGAAAAAACTTCCTGAGACTGGTCACACATAGGTTTTTATGGGGTGCTTTTATTAATGTGTTAGCTCCGTACGTCAAAAAGCCCTACCACCGAAGATGGAAATCCTTGCAGTAAATGTGTGACAGTTTTTCTTTGTTGGAGGGCAGCATCGCCTCAGATGCAAGCCCAATCGCCACGTCAAAGTAGCAGCTACGGTCGAAAAATTAACAGTTTAGAGTATAGATACATATATATTATAGCTTTTCTCGTGGAGGAGTATAGGCCACCAACGTGTAGTCAACTATAAAGTAAATAATTATACAAGATATGGAAAAATTATACAGTTAACTAGTGGTTATCAATAGCGAATTTTCCTAAAAAGTAGAGGATGCGCTTCAGTTTCATCAATAGAAAATGGAAGCAATACGTTCGTACAGCCATAATCGAAGTCCAATAATCTAAAATGGTAACCACCGAAAGATGATGTTAAGTAAGACTCAATGACATCAAAGAGTTAGTCAATTCTGAAATTCTCTAGACACTTTAATAACATGATATTCGCAAATAATTCAACAAATATAGATGAAATATACGTAAATACAGAGGGTGATAGAAAAAGGACTATACGGAAAGGGAAACACCGAAATGTTGTTATTTATTTATTTATTAGTATTATTATTGAACACTGTTGGATGCCGGCTCAGTGGTTTAGTGGTAAAGCGCTCGCGCGCTAGACTGATAGGTCCTGGGTTCGAGTCACGCGAGGCGGGATCGTGGGTGCGCACTGCTGAGGTGCCCCACAATAGGGTGAGTTGGCCGTCCAGTGTGTCCAGGTTTTAAATGGTGGTCTAGCTTCCATTGACTCATGATCTCAACTATTGAAATTATTGATATTTATTGTTCATAAAACTATTTATTCATACGTTCTTTTTTCAAGTTTCGTTTTAACAGTAAAACAATTTTATTCTTTTTTTCCTAGTTGTATAATGACTGGTTCATATAATAATACTGTGAAAGTATTTGATCGACAAAATCCAATTGAATGTTCTTATAAACTTATTATGCAAGATGAAGATATGAATGCATTCCATGATGCATTTCGTACAACTGATGATAATACTTCTGTGTTTGTTTCACCTATATCATCATCAACATCATCACCCGACGGTACTGAATTAACGTGGCCACGAAGGATACATGATGATTTGATCGATATCACTGAAAACTTTACCAGATCATCATTTTCAGATAATAATATTAATGATAATACTAGTACTAATAATCCCAATGTCAATGAATCCATATTCACTGTGGATGTTGGACGTAAATGGTTGCAAGTTAGTTGGAGACCTTGGTCTACTGTAGCTGCTGTCAGTCATACAGATGGTATCCACCTTATTGAAGCAATAAATTAACAGAATAAGTGCAATTTTTATATGATATATATATATATATATAAATGTATATATATACATACGTCTTTTTTCCAGAAAAATACATTCCTTGTGTTATTTTTGTCAGCCTTGTTGTCTTTGGTCCTTATTTTTTAGGAAAAATATTTTTACAAGTAATATTATTGGCCTTATAATGATGAACTTTTTCCGACTAATAAGTTTGTTTTATTTCTCCTTGTCTTGAGCGATTTTTTTTCTTCAGCAGATAGTCACGATTAAAATTCGACGCTTTTCCTTTTCCTCATTTGTTCTCTCTTTCGTACTACTAGTACTAATACTTTTACTACAACTGTTATTGTTTGTTACTTATCTTAAAAAAAAGAAGAAAAAAGCCGTATTCTTCTCTTTTTTTAAACAGACTATTAATCAGTAAATTGTTGTATTCATCCTTCCTTCTGACCACAACCACAACAACAACGATGTACTTCATTTTGTCTGTCTTGTTTGCCGTTGGTCTGCCATGTAGTAATTGCATACCATATGCTAGGGAAAATAGACACACACACGCGCGCGCTTTGAAAAATCAACAGTTAGCTTATTCTTCCTTCCTTCCTTCCTTCTTTCCTATTCTCTTCACTACTGATATTTTGTGCCAAACACATTTCCAATGTTTATGTTATCGCTATTATTATTACTCATAATAATAGTAAAAATTATTATTATTATTATTATTTTCGTTGCCTAGATTTCAATTTATGTGTATAACATATATTTATGCGCATGTATTTTATGTACACTTTTCCCATAGTATGGTATTATTCTTCTCATTCAAAATATGAAAACAACGAAACAGATTAACCAGTTCCAAGCGGAATGAATACACAGTGTGTCTGAAAGTGTCTGTGTGTGTGACAAAGAGAGAGAGAGAGAGAGAGAACAAGACACATACACATAACCGACCATACATACTTCCTTGTTAAACCTATCTCGCTCATTCACCCTATTTTGCTTTCTCACTTCATTGATACATTATTTATAATGAGTACAATTATTGTTTTACTACTTTATTGACATATTTTAATGAGTATGATTATTATTATTTATTTATTTATTCTGAATGTTACTAAAATAGATTATGTTTCGTAATTTCTAGGATAACTTTTCTTAATTTATTTAATATTATTATTATGAAAAGAATTTGAAAAAAAGTAATTATTTAAAACAGAAATAGACTTTTACTTTTGTGTTATTTGTAATTGTGAGTCGTTTCGTAATTACGTACATCTGTTACTCCTCGTGGAGGAGCATAGACCACCTACCAGCACTCTCCATCCAACTCTGTCCTGGACAATCCTTTCCAGCTCTTTCCAGTTGTTATTCATCCTTTTCATAACTGATTCTATTTTTCGACGTAATGTGTTCTTTGACCTTCCTCTTTTCCTCTTCCCTTCAGGATTCTAAGTTAAGGCTTGCCTCGTGATGCAGTTTGAGGATTTGCGTAATATATGTCCTACTCATTTCCATCGTCTTTTCCTAATTTCCTCTTCATCTGGAAGCTGGTTTGTTCTCTCCCACAGAAGGCTATTACTTATGGTATCCGGACAATGAGTGTTGAGTATCTTGCCTGTAGCTCTTCCAGAGTTACTGCTGGTCCAAGCCCGGGTAAAGGAAGAGGGTCACATAGGTGTAGCACTCGGTATTTATATTACTCTATTTTATTTATTTAAACATAAACATTGGTACAAGGGGGTACCAAATAGATATGCGCCACGTAAATCATTCGATTTATGAGAGGGCTGGGATGCTGCCCGGCTGCCCAAACCGAAGCAGGTGGTTTCCTTAGGGGGCTACACTCGGAGCCTTCGACCTAAAGGTCTGATCCACAAGGCAGTGGAGCAACGTTAGGAGACGCAGTCCCATGGTAGCCGGTCACCAACGATTGGTTTATACGCAATTTGTGCCCTCAAGATACTGGACTCCATGTGCACCATTGGTTTGGAATGAGGGTTTTCCAACCCCCTAGTTGGACTCTTCATGTCCATCAATCCGGTTAAAGCGCCGGACATCCGCTTTTCGTTTTCTCAACTTCATAAACATCAGTGATGCCGCGAGAAGATAGTGATTAGGACTTCCCTGAAGGTGGTTGTATGTACGTATTTCAGTATTCCTTCATACATGCCTTATAATTATGTCTTTCCAAATTATATTCTGAATGTTCATTTTTGTCATCATAATTGCTACTATGTTATCTCGATTTCTTCATTGTTCACTTCGTTAGTCTCATTTCAAAATACTGTTGTGATATAGCGACGTAAGCCTATGCTCATATTTGTCAGGTCTCATGTTGGTTGACTGACTGATACATTTGGTCCATATAGTTGGAGTAGGGTTAGTGAAATAGTATTTTGTGAATCTATCAATATGATGAACAAAAGTAATGTGTTATATTGTTAAATCCGCCTGCAGCTCTTCTAGGGTTACTGCCTATCTCAAGCCCGGGTAAAGGAGTAGGGTTAAGCATAGGTTCAGCAACCTCATCCCGTAGAAAAAAATCATGCTAGAAAATGCCAACCACATTAAACAAATTAAACCATTTAAACTCCGTCCTCCAAGTTGAAGGAAACAATTATGACGCCTATTGATGATAGCCGAAATTTTTCGGAAGTCACGAGGCCGATGCCACTTCCAACAACCAGAGCGACAATTAATGTACGTACATGGAATGTCCGGACAATAGAAGATCGGAACGACTAATCAAATAGCTGCGGAAATGCGGAGATACAACTTTACGGTAAATTTATTGGACCTAAGCTGAACAGCAGAATTTAGATTAGGGAGAGATGCTTCTGTACTCTGGTCACGGAGAAGAAAATGCTCAGCACACTCAGGGAGTTATTCTGGTGCTGTTCGAAGAAGCACGAAATGCACTTATAGAATGGGAGTCTCATGGATCCAGAGTCGTCAAAGCATCCTTCAAAACAAGAAGGGAATCACAACGAATGTTATGCACCAACCAATGGTAGCAACAACGACGGTAAAGATCAGTTATATGAGAGGCGGCAATCGATCTTAGCGAAATGCTCAGGAAAGAACTTGACCATCATGATAGAAGATTTAAACCCCGAATTTGGAATAGACAACACCGGATATGAAGATATCATGGGACGGAATGGACTGGAAGAGAAAACGAAAATGGGGAAAGATTTGCAAATCTATGTGCATTCAACATATTGGTCATAGACGGCGCAATATTTCCACACAAACGCATACACAAAGCTACATGGGTCTCATCGGGTCAAGCTACACAGAACCGGATGGATTATATTTGCATCAGTAAAACTTTCACAAGGTCAATGGAAGAGGTGAGTATCAGGAGAGGGGCTGACATAGTTTCAGACCACCACCTGGTGGCTGCCAATATGAAACTGAAAATAAGGAAGCAATGGACAACTTGAGAAATAGCATCACAGAAGTTTAATGCAGCCTTCCTTCGATATACTGACAAAGTCAACCAATTCAAGATAGCTCTGAACATCAGACTTCAAGCCTTATAGGATCTACCGAAAGAAGAAATAACTATGGAGGACAACTGGAAAATTATAAAAGAAGCATTAACTTCAACATGTCAGGAGGTTCTGGGCCTCAAGAAGCATCATTATAAGGAATGGATCTCCATAGAAACACTGGACAAGATCAAAGAAAGAAAGAACAAGAAGACAGCAATTCACAACAGAATAACAAGAACAGAAAAGATCAAGGCACAAGCTGAACACTGAAGTAAACAAAAAAGTCACGAAGAGCATTAGAGCCGACAAACAGAAATATGTGAAAGACCTAGCAACGACAATGGAAAAAGCTTCAACAGAAGGAAATATCAGACAGCTCTATGATATAATGCGGAAACTGACAGGGAAATATAGTAAACCAGAGAGACCGGTCAAGGACAAGGAACGCAAGCCAATCACTGAGATTCAAGAACAGAGGAACAGATGGGTAGAATACTTCGAGAAACTCTTGAATAGACCAGCACCATTGAATCCACCGGACATCGAAGCAACACACACAGGTTTTCCTCTGAATGTCACTACCAACAATAAACATCAGGATGGCCGGCCATCTGACAAATCAAGAGTGGGAAAGCAGCAAGACCTGACAATATACCAGCTGAAGCTCTGAAGTCATACATAGGAGTAACTGCAAATATGCCCTATGTTCTATTCGAGAAAATTTGAGAGGAAGAAGTGCGGACAAACTGAAAAGAAATATAACACATGAACATACCAAAGGAGGATCTGAGCAAGTGTGGTAACTACACAGGTCTCACGCTAATATCGATACCAGGAAAATTTTTCGACAGAGTGTTGCTGAACTGGATGAAAGATTCAGTAGACGTCCAGTTTCGAGATCAGCAGACCAGATTCCGTAAGGATCGATCGTATACAACCGAAATCACGACACTTCGGATTATCGTTGAACAATCGATTGAATGGAACCCCTCACTATACATCAGGTTCCTTGACTATGAGAAGGTGTTTGACAGTGTGGATAGAAGAACATTATAAAAACTTCTCCACAATTGTGGTGTACCTGAGAAAATATTGTGGATACTATGAAAAATAGTTTATAGAAATATTTTCACTTGAGAAAAGATTTAAAGATATACTGATCTCGGAAAGAAATATGGTCTGTTTTAAGGTAATCATGATAAATTCACTGACTAAATGTAGCTACTATATACAGTTTATTTAGATTTAGAATTATAAATCTAGTGTCATCCACACTTATCAATGTTATTTAGTTCCACATGTATAACTATTCCTTTAATGTTGATCTTTCATCGTAATAAATATTCTTGTCATATATAGACGCTGGGCTGGCGACTACTGTTTCAGACTCAAGAATGAGGATAGAGAAAGGTTTGCGGATAGGCAAGCTAATAGGAGATTGGCTTACGTTAGCTTAGGGTTAGTGGTGGCAGTCGGGACATAACATTACTCAGAGTTAAGGATACTACGCTATAG